AAGATCTTCTCACATCATTCCCTGGCCTTTCTCCTGCCACTCACCTACTGGTAAAAGGGACACACTCAGGTGCACATCCATCTGACATGCTCAAATACAGTTTCCTTATACTAAGCAGTATACTTATACTATATAGCTTAGTTTCCTTATACTGTATTGCCTTTAGTTTTAGTAGGATCTTAGAAATTCTATTCCCACTTATATGCAGCTTTCAATACATCTTAAAATGAAATTTTAAATGTGTTTGAAAACAAAATTTAGCTGAGAAACTAAAAAAAAAAATGTATATTAACTCTGGTTTGGCAGCTTCCTTTGTCTGCCACCACCTCCGAAGTTTCACTTTTCTCCAGATGACACATATCACAGCCAAAAGCTATTAGAGACACACTCAATCCCTTCCCATTCAGATCCTTACATCACAGTAACAGGAATATTCCCACCTGCTTGAGCATTCTCATCTTTCTTCAGCCCATCAAGAAAATGGGAAAGAAGAGATGGCTAAGGAATGATTTGGGCAGAAAGGTTAGATCCTATGATTCTAGCAGCCTCTCCCAAAGCCACCCTAAATAAATATGCAATCTAAGTAAAAACTGTTATTTATTTTGCAAATGTAGCTTCAAATTCCTTAGCACTCTCCTCCAATTCCTCCTCTAGGTTCAAAGCACCTCACACTAAATTGTTCCTGTAGAAACTGAACCTCTTTGTTGGCCAGGGCAGCAGCACCCACCCTTCTTCCCACGTGTGCTGTGCCACAAGCAATAAAAGACTGGCTGGTTATTTCAGGGCCCCAAGATTTGAAAGGAGGATTGGTGAATGAGAAGCTCTTCCCTGCCTTCTACTGTTGACTAGCAGCTGGAAGAAGTTCAATTTCTCAGGCTATGCAGTGGTGGGCACCATTCAAATGGATCATGCACTTGCCACTCTAACACTATAGGGCCCAGGCAAATAGTTCAGGTTCTCCAGCAGGTCCAGGTATGCTACTTTTCATAGCACTGTAGGGAACCACTTAGATTAGATGTCGCCCTTTTTTAACAGGGCTTTGCTTGAATTAATGCTGCCAGAACTCCCAGTCTGTGTCCTGCCTTCGTAATTCCATGTTGGACAAAGTTCCTGGATAGAGCACATTGGAAAAGCCCTGCAGAGCAACAGCTGAAAGTACCCGATGATGCAATGATGGTAAGTCTGGCTTTTCTCTGGCTCCCAGTGGGGTCAACTCTAGCCACAAATCCTCAGGGAGTCACTATCTCTCACCAGCTTCTGTGACACTGAAAAGGAAGCTACCATGTTCTACTGCTTCCTACACAAGCAAACAGGGCTTGAATCAGGCATTAAATGCTTCACCAATGAAGCTATTCCTGATAATAAACCTAAAGAGGCAAAGCCACAGCTGAGCCAATTTGGAGGCACCAAGAGGGCAGGCCCAGGGAGCACAGCCAACTTCTGGGCTAAACCTACATGAGAAAGCCACAGAGAAAGAGCTTAAAATCCTTATGTCCTCTGAAGATGGAGAAAGATTGCACTTGAATGCATTTTATAAGGCAGTGGATGATAAAGAGTCACATACCATAATAAAAATTGCAGCAGGACAAAGGGGATCAGCTTTAACCAGAATTATCTTTAACAAGCAAAGTATAATAATGTTTTGCCCAAAGAATTAAACAATTTTGTAAAGTGGAAGGAGAAAGTAGTCATGACATAGAATCCAGTCGAGCATCGTATGAATGAGCCCCATTGTGATATACTCAAAAATATATAGACTGTGAGCTATATATTATTACAACAATGATCTATGATGAAATCTTGATGTAGAGCAAGTTGATGGTATAGCTCCAGTTCATTTGTGTGTGGTATTTTCCTGTACGGTATTTACTTTCAAAGGAGGAGTCCCAGATAAACTGATAATGCTGTTCAGATCTTCATTATAATCTTCTATTCAGTTTTCAGTTCAGAATAAAAATAATCCCCACCAGCACTGCACTGTTTTACCACTCTGAGGGAAAAAAATAGTAGCGAGTTGGTTAAGAACACCTGAGTATTATACATTTGTGCCCATATTTGACCAGGCTCTCAGCAGACCAGTGAGGATAGAAATGGCTCATTAATGCCCTAGAGTGTCTTACAACTCATCTAATGAGGAAAAGACTCTAGAAAATTTAAATGAATTTCGTATGGAATAGTTTTGTTCTGTTTTTTTCAAATACACTTTTGTAATATCTGAGGGACATTATAGGTTTGTTTAGTTTTAATAAAGCCTAAAAGTAAAATTGCTTTTAAAGGAAAACTGAAAAAAAAAAAAAAAACAGATCTAGAAACCAGAAAGAGACTGTATTCAGTGAGAAAAGGATGCCAAGAATATGAAAATATCTACACAAGGAAAACCTGGAGAGTTCAGTGCTATTCTAGAAAACCGTGAGAAACCACAGCCTGTCTTTATCACATGTCTGAACATAACACCCCTCACACTAGGTATCCAAGTGCCAGTGGTTACCATTTGCATGGTAAGTGTAGGGCTATACCATGCAATTGAGCTTTACGTCATGATAGAAATGGTCTACTCTGAGCCATGCAATCAGTTGCTATTAACCACAAGTGTCTATCAAATACCTAAAAACAATTATCAAATAACACGACTGGACTGGGTTTTTAATTTCATTTAGTTCTAATTAATCTGAAGTTAAAACTCCATTTACCAGATTGGATAGCACAGCTCTAGAACATAAGACACTGATTAATTTCCCAGGCTTGTTTCGAAACTTCAAACTACTTATTTTAGTAAATTTGCATACAGAAATTAAATAAGATTTCCTATCAGTTCTTGCTGCCTGCCCTATCACTCATATTTCACTTTTATAATTATCTGACTACTTATCTGTTTAATGTCTCTCTGCTAGGTCAGAAATTCTACCTGGATACCACTGGGCCTGCTGTAACCTCTGCTCTGTCCCAACCTAAACAAGGTGTGTGTATTGTGTACTCTATTAATCCTTACACCAGTCAGACACCAGAGAAGCAAGTCAGAAAGAAAGCTTCTGTCCTGGAAGGATAATGCATAGAAAGATGCACTGAAATACCTGATCATCATCTTAAGAACAATTCAACATCATTTCTCCCTACTTTAGTTTCTCCCTACCAATTACCCATGCAAAAGTAAATAATAATCTTTTTTTTTCCTTTTTCTTTTATTATTCATATATGCATACAAGGCTTGGTTCATTTCTCCCCCCTGCCCCCACCCCCTCCCTTACCACCCACTCCGCCCCCTCCCTCTCCCCCCCCAATACCCAGCAGAAACTATTTTGCCCTTATTTCTAATTTTGTTGTAGAGAGAGTATAAGCAATAATAGGAAGGAACAAGGGTTTTTGCTGGTTGAGATAAGGATAGCTATACAGGGCATTGACTCACATTGATTTCCTGTGCATGGGTGTTACCTTCTAGGTTAATTCTTCTTGAACTAACCTTTTCTCTAGTACTTTATGGTAGAATGTGCACATTCAATATTACCCTTTTATCAAAAAATTTGATTATTTCATCATTTTCTTAAAATGCATACTTCTAAACCATTAGGTATTTCTTCTATGCTTCCCTTGAAAACTCTTCTACTCACTTGTACCACTCAGCTGATGTTCAATAAGCTAAACACAGGATAATCCTTGTGTTAGGTTACAAATAGTGTATACCATCTCTCACTGCTTTGCTTTCAAAGCAAATGTTATATATGTGGAAGCACATATATTCATAAACATGTATATATACACACAATGCACACATATATACACACATTAATGTATCCATTTATAGCTATAGCTACACACACTATTGAGCTTCTAATTATCAAGAATTTTATTACGCATTCTGTCTACCTACCTAACTGTACTCGTAAAGCCATGTAATTATGATGGTCACAAAGAACACAACAGAATTCTAGATTTTCCACTTTCTAGATATGCACTTTGGGAAAATTACTAACATCCCTGAGCCTCAGTTTCTATATCTGAAACTAACATCCAACTTCATGAAGTCTGTCAGGAGGACTAGACAGTACATTACCCAAGAAAGCAAAGAGCACCTGGCAAGAAGCAGGTGTCATGTTTATTGAATAAATAACTTATTTCACATTTTTGGGACCCATTTCAAAGGCTTACAAACTCCCTAAGAATAGACAAGAGTTCATTATAGTCTGATCTCAAGTGAGCAGGGACTGAAGATTAAAAGGCAGACTTAAGGGCAAGTCAATGTCAGTGACTGAACAAACAAAAAGATGAGATAAATCAGTCAAGAAATTGGAGAACTCACTCAAAAAAGAGATGCTTCTGATGCCTGATGCAGGTCAACTGAAAGGCTTCTCTCAACTCTTTGGAAATGGTTCAACTCAGACTACCACTGTAGAAGGTTACCACTATGGAACATATAAACTCTGGTGGGATCACAATCGTTCATATACTCCATAGCTATAGCCAATCTATGGCCTATTTATCTTTAAACTATTCAAGGTCGCAAGACCACTCGTTATTCAGCCTCCAAACCTCACATTTGGTCAATTTGACTACTAGTGCCTTTGCCTATTTTAGAGCTTCCTCAACATGCAAGATGGCATATATAAACAGAAATAAGATAAATGACAGCTTTAACAGTTTGTATAAAGAATCTGGTGGTATGTAGCAATAAAGTACTCCTTTTAAAAGTTAACCTCTGAGTTGGGCGCCAGTGGCTAGCACCTATAATCCCAACTACTTGGGAGGCTAAGTTTTGGAAGACTGCAGTTTAAGGCCAGCCTGGGCAAATAGTTCATGAGACCCCCATCTGCAAAAAACCAAAGTTAATGGACTGGAAATATGGTGCGAGCAGTAAAGTGCCTGCTTTGTAAGGGTAAAGTCCTGAGTTCAAACCTCAGTCCAACCCCAAAAAAAAAGGTTTTTGTGTTTTGTTGCTACATTCACAAGTCAAGATTCTAAAAATAACATCAACAGGAGAGAAGGGAAGGTCATGGCACACTCCATACCTCAGCTTCCTGCAGGGTCCCGTGGTTTAAACACACCATATCAGGGCAAGTGATGGGAGACCCACATCCATCTCGGATTGCCAGCTGCATATACTGTTTCAGGCACTATAAGTTAAGAAGAAAGAAGACAGACAATTACCACTCCATTATAGTAGCACAAAGGTCGTACAACAGAGCCACCACTGTCTCTTCCTTAATTGGCTGTCCTGGGGTTCTTGTACTCAGGAAACATAAGTTATCACAAGTGTGACTACTAAGAGCCATCACTTTGGAAAGAATGCAGATACAGGCAATTAATTATATATGACTTCATCCAAAGAGTTTATTCAAGTCAAATTCCCATGTACTCACACAATTCATCCACCATAGATTGTGAAAAGCAGAAATATTTTTGTACTCATGGCAAAGGACTTCTCCTATTTTATTTTTTTAAATACTTATGTAACTTCACAATTCCATTTTTATCTAGTGGTCCTCTCCTTCCAAGTTTGCCCAGAACTAGAATGGAACCCTATGATCCCAAACAGAATCGAAGTAAGATTAAGGCTGTGACTTATCCAGGAACATGATTAAAAATAAAAGGTAATGTCAAGTTTGGGACAGTCAAGTGACTTCCTGCTAACTGGAGACAGATATTTTAGGAGAATGAGATCCTTCCCCAAATAGAGGTCTTGGTGGCTACCACGTTGAGGAGACTTGAGTAGTACAAAAGACACTAGTCAATTGGAGAAAGAAGAAATTGAACTTTAAAAACAAACCCCAAGAGGAGAAGGAGGACACCAAGCAAAAACTTGGTCTACTCACTGCTTGTTGTGACTGGACACTGAGCAATGGGTAGAGACATGAGTCTGACTGAGAATGCAGGAGAGGGACTGACAGTGTCATGGAAACCTCCAGTGCCTTCTCTCTCCCTCCCAACCCAGCCTCATATGCACACAGGAAACCGAAGGCAGTACAGCAGGCCTCTTGTACATGTGGACTCCACATCTGCAGATTCAACCAACTCAGACAGAAAACACTCAGAAAAAAAGTGCTATGTTGCTGCTGATGTGCATCACATAGGTAGGTCTTATCATGGTTAGGTCTGTACTAAACAGGTAAAGACTCTCTTCCTTGTCATTATTCCCTAAACAATACAACATAACTATTTACATAGCATTTACACTGTATTAGGTAGTATACTTAATCTAGAGATGATTTAAAGTATGCAGGAGGATGTATATGCTGAATGCAAATACTATGCTAAAGCCAAATATTTAACCCAGATTTGTCATCTCTTCAAGTCAGTAAACTGACTCTAAGAAGTCGGATTTTCTATCACAGCAAAAACTAGAAAATAACTTAAATATCCAATAATTTTTGCTAAATTCATGCAATGAGATATTGCAGAATCATGAAAAATTCTCATCGAGTTGCATTTAAAGGCATGAGAAAATGCTCATGATTTAGTATAAACTGGAAGATAAAAGTTATCTGGGAGCAAGGGTCCTCCTAAGCCACTCTTACCCTACAACTTACCCTAACCTCATGATAGATATTAGATTTTCACTTTCACTTTCTTGTTTAAGAGAAATGAAGCAATTGCTTGCTCTAAGATTTACTATACCAAACATGGTCTCCAGTACCAGGAGCAGTGGTCTATAGAATAGAGTAGAAGCAAGGCAATTGTGGGGAAGAACTTCATGGGCAGGCAAAAACCCAGAGGAACAGTGCAGTGTCTCACACAAAGGGTATCATACCAAGAGACAAATAAATAAGCCATATGAAGACCAGTCTACCATTCTGCTTCTAAAGACCTCTCACCTTCCATCAGCCACACTGGGTCTAGGGTTACTGCCTTCATCCCACCCCAGCTCCCACCTGAAGAAATTGAAGTAAACAGATGTGGTCTCCAGGATCAAGGGAAAGATGTCTGAGGGAAACAAACTGAACAACGAAATGAACTTCAGATGCTAGCAGCTGGGGTCTAGACCCAGCTCTACTCTTAATAGGGTCAATAATACCTGTTATGGTTAGCTTATATGGTTTAAAACACACACACATCCCTGAAATTTTACCTACAAATTGCAGAATATCAGGTTATATTTTTACTCTCTTCACTTGGACTTAAGACTATCAAAAAAGTTGTGAGGAGCTGTTAATCCTTTGTCCTTCTGAGATGCTTTTTCTACTCCCTGCAAGGGACCAGTGAAACTACTGAGGCTTGAGAAGCTGCATAGACAGAGCAGATATGTATAACAGAACATTCCACATGTTTCTAGGCAAGCTTCTCCTTAAAACTATTTGGGTCTATAGCAAAAGCTTAATGTTAAATAGAAACAAGAGACATTATGTGAGTTTTTATGATGAAAAAATTTATTTAAACTTATACTACAAATTTATAAGGTTGACATACTAAGCCTCCCAAAGAGCTTATAATGGATGTTCCACTTGCTAATGCAATGTTCTTAGGTACACTGCAAGCCATGATACATCAACTTAATGAATTTTGAAGCTTCCTACAAGCACTGTCCTATCTGCAAATAATATTGTGTGACCCATAATTTTAGGAAAGAAGTTGGAGCTATACACACTGACTAAAAGCCTTAAGTATACATGTCCTCTATTTTTATTCTGAGAAATACTTACTCAAGATAGAGATTTCTAAGTGCACATTGTTAAGTAATCTCAGCGCACAGGCACTTGACATGCCATCAATGTGAGCATGAATTTCTATTCAAAAGCAAAGAGGAGAAACAATTAGTCCTAGTCATTGCTTCTTACTGCATTTTCAAGTGCTTCAGGTTCATTATATGCCTTCCATTGGCTTTCACTGCAAAAAAAAAAAAACTGATCTCAAAACCTCTGTCTTCTTCAATACCTCTGGCTAGCAGTAGTCACACAAACCCCATGCATGTTATACAAACCAAGCATACATAGGTAAATAGTTAAGAATTCTACAGAAAAAAAAACTGGCAATTTAGCTGATAAGTGATGAGAAAACTACCATCATTTAGACACATTTTTTAAATTACATTGCATTAAACAGTAGCATTGCACAAATATCTAAATATGCAATTTTCTTAACAGCTAACAAATTCTAAAACAAATGTTTCAAATAGAATATTTTTAAAGCCCAAATGACCTAAGAAAGAAAGAAAAACCTTGTTCTTTTAAACAGTCATTTATTGCATTGGTTTGGTATAACATAGAAGTATTTTAAGGCCATAAGGGTCATGTATAGTAACAAGGACTGTCTAACTCATTCCACACCCTGAAGGATTCGGATGGGATCTAAAAACAAGGATTTTACTACCAAACACCTAGTGCACCTGGTGATTTCTGCTATCTCTTATGACTCTGACAGTATATGAATGATGTTAATGGAATTTTAAAAACTACGATCACTACACATAATTCAAGAAGGAAGCCTTCTTTATGAGTTGCTGTTGAGTTCGATGATTGGTACAGTTCATGAAGTATCTCTCCAAATTCAAGCCTGTTAACATATGCAAAGCCCATGATTTGAAAAAATTCAATCATCTATAGCTAGATAGAAAGTTGTGTTTTGGCAGTCTGATCCTAAAACTTTATTCTGCAAAACCCTTTGATTTTCAACCAATTGAATATTCTTTATGGCAATCAACTTCCCCTTCACAAGTGTTTCTGTTTATCAACTGTATAGAACATCAGAGGATCAATTATTTGGTACCAAATAATTAAAAAGGAGAAGCCCTAAATCAAACGACAAGCCACAGTACAGTTTTAAAAATACCTTAGTCTCACCAGACTTATCCTTTAACTTCTCTTATTCCCAAAGCCTGCCTTTGTGGCCCCTGGTCCAGCAGGACACCCAGCCTGTCTGTTCTCACAGCACCCAGAGCCTAGATAGCACTGTGCTTTTCTAACTGGGTGAAGGGTATATTCTAGGGCACCCATTATGAGATTTTCCCACTTTCTGTTTTCTCAATTCTCTTAATAAAAATATGCTCTGGACCACCTCAAGAATCTTCCTATTACTATCCATTTTCAGTGCTCACACTTGTGTTTGTGTTACAGTGTGTTGTTGTTCTGATTTGTCAGATAACAATGCCTTTGTGGTCACACACACAGGGAAGAGGATGAAAGTATCTAGACCCAGTGAAAACTGCTCAAGTTGAGATTGTTAATGATTCAGACACAGAAAAATGGCAGGATCGTTTGATTCCCACTTATTCACTGGAACACTCCATACTCAGAGCCTCTCTGTTAATAGTGATTTAGCTGAAGAAACATATCACCCATTACATTAATGTCCACTTAGATTTTATTGGTCTGTAATTTTAGTCAATATTCAGCTTGCACATTGATTCTGGCATTCTTGCTGTTTATAAGAGATATATATCTAGATGTGCTTTACTTTGTATTATGTTTGTAAAAACTTTAACAAGACTCTAATAAAAGTAATTTTTAAGTAAACCAAGTATTGGGGTTCTCATTATTTTACCCTTAAAAATGAAGTCACATAAATCCATCAAACAGAGGGAGAACACAGTGATTCTCAATGGCAATGGATTGGTGGTATACTATTTTTCCTTGAGAACATATCAGACTATTGACTTTCCACAGGGAATTTTATAAACTTTACAATTTCCCTTCCCTCCCCCAACTCTCCAGAAGACTGCTTTTCCTCCCTACTTACCAGTCTTCCTATCACCACCTTAGGTAATGGTAGATGTTAACAACTGAAGAATGTCATACATAAGCCAGGCACTGGTGGCTCATGCCTGTAATCCTAGCTACTCAGGAGGCAAAAATCAGAAGGAAAAGTGATCAGAAGGATCACGGTTCAAAGTTAATTTGGGTAAATAGTTCTTGAGACCCTAACTGGAAAATACTCAGCACAAAAAAAGGTCTGGCAGAGTGGCTCGTGTGGTAGAATCCTTCTGATTTTTGCCTCCTGAGTAGCTAGGATTACAGGCATGAGCCACCAGTGCCTGGCTTATGTATGACATTCTTCAGTTGTTAACATCTACCATTACCTAAGGTGGTGATAGGAAGACTGGTAAGTAGGGAGGAAAAGCAGCATGTCTAGCAAGCATGAAATCCTAAGTTCAAACCCCAATATCACACACATGCAAAAAAAG